AAAAAGTTTGCTCGTACCTGTGGGGATTTTTCGAAGTCCTGGGTCAGCCAAGAGCAGCAGCAAGGAGCAAACGCAGTGCCGTATACTCTACAGCTTTGCAGTCCGTCCTCCTCAAGTCCTATCGGAGATGATTAGTATCGCACAACGGCTGGATCCGAAATGCCGGCTAGCTCCGCAATCCAAGAGAGGTGGGTGGCTGAGCTAAAACCGGAATGACTGCATGCGTGCTCCTCTCAGCGACGTCGCTGGCTGGCTCTTTGAAGTGCAGATTTCTGGTTCAGCGGAATTTGATTCCCAACTCTTCGTTGTCACCTGGGTGTATGGGAATTTTTGAGAAAGGTGTACAGAAATTGATTATCCTAATTGCAAGGGACACGTTTCATTTTCAGTGTTCCCCCTTGCGGTTTCGACGGTTAAATATGCGGTTACCCACAGATTTTCGCATCGCTACAACAAGCTATCAGGCTCCTACAAAAGTATGCGAGTGCAATTTTGGTAGCGCTAGAAGCAATTTGAACATGATTTTTATGTCATTATTTATAAACAGGCGTTCTTATTTTGCACATAGACATGTAACGATATTTGAACATAACACAACAACACTACACCAGGAATTGCTCAACAAAGAAACGGAACACTACCCAATAAAGGAAAAGATAATCGCACGCAGGCTAATCTACCAAAAATTAATTCGTATCTACTCGATTCCAAATACCCAACTCCACTTTCTTCCAGTATGAATTCCGCACCATAGGTGCATTTACACCCACGATGTTTGCAGTCACTGGCGAGGTACGAAAAAAGGTACATGAAATTGTGTAAAGTATTACGTATAAGTCGACTAGAATAGAAACGTGCAAGCATGTCAGCTATCAATCTGGCTGTGGCAGCTTGGAAAAATCGAATGTCATTTTTTTGGTTCTCGCTCTCAATCGGAAACTTCGCTCTCAATCGTGCGAAAACCCTGTTCAAGGTGTTCGGTGCACTTCATGGGATCGGTTTTGGGGGGAAGGGTTCGTGGTCCAAGCTCGGGCAAGACGGCGCCGTTCCGAGGAGGACTCGACGCAGAAGTACGAGGTGACCCACGCGCCTTGGTGCAAGGAAGGAACCTCTGAAGACCCACTGTTCGTCTTGAGGAGGGAAGGCTTCCACCTCAACAACGACAACCTCGTTGTTTTTTCGGCCCCTGTCGTTTGCTACAACGACGCCTTCAACTGCTTTGGCATGGGAAACAAGGTACGCTGCCTCCGCATTGTGATCGACCAGGATATTGTGGCATTGTCATTCATGTGTTCCCCTACCTCCACCCCTCCCGTCAAGCAATACACCTTTGTAGATGTGCCTCGTAAGTGTTGCCACATACAGTGTTGTCTTCGGCCCCTTCAGCAGTTGGGTCTACATTGTCGGAGCTACTAGGCGCAGCACTCACAGGCACACGCGCACGCCGTGCCTAGCGTACCGCAACCTCTTCGGGCACAAATCGTGCTCGGGGCACGCCTCGTCTTGTCGAACCACACATACTTGCCACCTCTCTTGTGATTGATGCATTGTCGTCGATTTGTCGGCTTGTCAGCATTCCGTAGGTGGCACATCGGTTGGCCGTGGAGAAGCCAGGCGGTGCAGAGACTGAGGCGACAGACGCACGTCGGAACCCTTGCTAGCACCGGAGCTTCTTGCCAAGGCGAGATCGGTCTTCAGTGTGAGATCCTTGGATTGCTGCAGCGGGCGTGCTTGGGAGAATGCATGCTCAGGGACGACGGAGCAATATCGAAGCATGAGGTATGTTGACAAGCCCACGGCCATTTTGGGATAATACGCGTGGTGTAGGTAGTGGGAGGGGGGGGGGGGG